TCTCTTCCGATTTTACAAAAACAAACCCCAACTCCACAAAAAGTAAAAATTTTAAAACAGCAAAAAGTATATGGTTTGATTAAGCAAAAATAGAACACCTATTTGCTCCCGCTGTTTGATTCAGCTAATTTTACAGATTTTTTTTTACCAAATTCTAGAAAGATCTCTCCAAAATTTCCTCAACAATAATCTCCAACCATATGATAAAATTGAAAGAATAGTTCATAATTTGGTACTCTCCTAACTCTAGCCCGGGACAAAAATAATGGGTACTAGTACAAAACAAAATCCAAAAATTAGCTTGTTCAATTCCACTGTTGGAATAATGTCAGAAAGCACATGTTGTTAAATCAAAGAACAGATCAAAGAAAGAATCCCATACAGGTACTGCAGATGTTGTAGCTGGCCAAGTTCTGGGCCCAGAGTCCCGGAAACATTTGAGTTGCCCAAGTCTCTGAAATCCAAAGATTAGACACTGATTAGAAAGCCCAAACCCAATTACTGTAACAAAAAGACTCAAAAAAAGAAGTCTGGAACAAAGTAACAACAGAAAGAAAAGAAAAGAACAAAAGGAGGTCTTACAAGCGAATCACATGATTGTTGGAATCACAGGTAACATGAAACCAAGTACAGGGATTAACCAGAGTTGGGTCCCAACTCTGCAACACATTGTTGGGATCAGAAAGCCTGCTTCTCAAAGCATGCAGAGCGTTCCCCACCCAATTATTTGGATTAAATATTTTTCTTTCCCAAAACAAGAAGAAAAAAAAAAGGAAAACCAAACAATTGAAACAAAACAACACATGATCTAGTTATGAGAACTGTGAATATAAGTCCCCCAGTTGCAGTTAACTTTTTGAGAAGCCAAATTGAGAATAGAGAATTGAAAAGGGTGAGAAATGAAGAAGTAGGACACACCTTCAGAGTTGGTTGAGAGGGACAGGAGGGGGTAGTGGAGAAAGAGAAAGAAGAAAGAGAGGGAAATGAAAGGTGCCATTTTTCCTCCTTTGCGAGCAAATTTTCGGTGAGTGAAAGAGAAAGAGGAAGGAAAGAAAAAGTGAAGAGTTAGGACTAAAGAAGAGAAGAGTGGACCAAGTTGGCAGTGGTTGGAAAAAAAAGAAGAGTGAGAGAGAAGAAGTGGTCAAATTATTATATTATGGTTCAAAACATGAGTGGAAAAGTCACGCATTGGTTGTGAATGTAAGTGGTGTGAAGTGAGACAGAGTCTTCTTAGCGTGTTGTGTGGGGCACCCTACCCCAAAAGTCCCCAACCCCTTGTTTACTTATGACTTATGAGTTAGGGGTACTTCACTTGTTACATTACATTATTACATGGTTGTTGTGTTGAGAGTGCAGACCTGAATGGAAGCACTAAGTACTAACCTCTCTCTGTCTGGAATCATAAACGTGATTACTGATTGGGGTCTTCTTCTCACCTAACATCTCCACTAAATATTGTGAACTTTGTTTTTACTGAATCTGAATGAACGAACAAGGCCTCAGCATACTGCATTGCCTAGATTGGACTACTCCTCTTTTGGCTACTGTTCTTATTCAACTTTCTTTCTTTCCCAACTATTTTATGATTTTACTTAAATACATAAATCATTTTGGTCAAGGAACTTCTACACTTCAAGAAGTGTTGGGCCCGATAGTCCACCTGTTGCTCCACCATAGTATGATATTGTCCGTTTTGGGCTAGGCCCGCACGGTTTTGTTTTTGGGCTCCTTCCCAAAAGGCCTCAGCATACTGCATTGCCTAGATTGGACTACTCCTCTTTTGGCTACTGTTCTTATTCAACTTTCTTTCTTTCCCAACTATTTTATGATTTTACTTAAATACATAAATCATTTTGGTCAAGGAACTTCTACACTTCAAGAAGTGTTGGGCCCGATAGTCCACCTGTTGCTCCACCATAGTATGATATTGTCCGTTTTGGGCTAGGCCCGCACGGTTTTGTTTTTGGGCTCCTTCCCAAAAGGCCTCAGCATACTGCATTGCCTAGATTGGACTACTCCTCTTTTGGCTACTGTTCTTATTCAACTTTCTTTCTTTCCCAACTATTTTATGATTTTACTTAAATACATAAATCATTTTGGTCAAGGAACTTCTACACTTCAAGAAGTGTTGGGCCCGATAGTCCACCTGTTGCTCCACCATAGTATGATATTGTCCGTTTTGGGCTAGGCCCGCACGGTTTTGTTTTTGGGCTCCTTCCCAAAAGGCCTCAGCATACTGCATTGCCTAGATTGGACTACTCCTCTTTTGGCTACTGTTCTTATTCAACTTTCTTTCTTTCCCAACTATTTTATGATTTTACTTAAATACATAAATCATTTTGGTCAAGGAACTTCTACACTTCAAGAAGTGTTGGGCCCGATAGTCCACCTGTTGCTCCACCATAGTATGATATTGTCCGTTTTGGGCTAGGCCCGCACGGTTTTGTTTTTGGGCTCCTTCCCAAAAGGCCTCATACTATATGAAATGGTAGACATCCTTATAAACTAGCCAATGTTCCTGCATTTTACAGATGTGGAACTTGGGATGAATCCCAGCAAGAACAAATTGAACCCTGCCTAATATATATAACATTAGAATGGCTATAAGACGTTGATCCAAACATGTGTTTTAAATATGAGGATTCTCAGCATGCACGCAATTTAATTCTGGTAAGTGTTTGGTATATACACTTTGTAAGAGAGTAAATGAATCATAAGTGTCCAAAAGAGTAGATAAAACCAACCGCCAACTGCAATGCAACCGAGATAATAAAAAACCCTGTAAATATCATTTAAAGTGATTTAGTGGTTACCATTACTCCTAATTAGTTTACATAAATAACAAATTTGAAAAAATGTGAAAAACCACAACATCTATCACTATACCATTATTTTCTAAATTTAACATTTTTAAAATGAGAAATTCATTTTAGAAAATAAAACAGAAATTATAGTTATTGATTTAAAATTTAAATAATTACATAATTTATTATACATATTCAATAGTTACATTCTTTTTGTGTGTGTTTAATCACAACAATAAAACTAAAACCTTAACAAATCTCCACTAGAGCAACTATAGTGAATCTTCGATAATTACATTTAATCATGATGTTAATTTTTTTGTGTACAACAGCGACGGTAAGATTTAAGTAAAAGATCTTGTGGTACTGTTTAAATGTCTACTGTGATGTGATGTGTATGATTGAATAGTTAATTTAGTTAATTTCTGGTTTTGGGGATTATCTCTGCTATAAAAAAAAATTATATTAGTAGTGCTTCAAATAATAAAATCCTAATTTTTATGTAAATTTTATAAATAAATGGATTTACTGATTTAAGCCCATTTAAAAAAGGATTTGTACTTTCACATTTCTTTTATACTGTGTCTAGTAATAAGAAAAGAAATTGAGGGGAAAAAAGTGAAAAGAAAAGAAGAGAAGTGTAAAAAAATAGAGAAGAAATAAAAATGTTTGATAAAGAAGAAACAAAGTGAAAATTTAATTTTTTTTATAAAAAATTTAATTTAAAAAATAATAAGTGAAAACTATTATTATTATTATTATTATTAATTGATGGAAGTTATTATTTTTAAAATAAATAAATAAACATAAAATTTATAAAAGAAAATATTTAAAAATATCAAATAAGATTAGTATCATTATAAAAATTAGTTTTGTTTAATATTTTAAAATAATATATATAATAAACATAACCTCCACATACTTCCCTCATTTTATAAGGTAAATTTTTTTATGCCAAAGTTTTATATTATGGAACTTGCTAAAACATCTTTCCATATTTTTCTATAATTTTCCTTTTATCAAGCACAATCACTTTGTCAACTTTCTTACATTCTCTGCACTTTCTTATTATTCTTCTCCACTTTCCCTTTCCCAAAAAAAACACTTAAAGAATATATTCACAAATCATATCTTAAATTTTCTTTTTAAAAGTCAAAACTTATAATTTTTTACAATTTTTTTTTAACGAATGAAAGTATAATAACACACTACACTTATTTAATAAAAATAAGATCAAAAATTATATTATTAAAAAATATGTCAATCAAGCGAACTTAGTTGTGAGTTAGCTTAAATTTCATGCTAGTCCACGTATTTTTAATCATACACTTGTCCTATCAAGTTTATTATAATTAATGAAATGGTATAATCATCTGTAGGAAAAAATCATGTAACCACCGAATGTTAACTTTATAAATTTACGTAGAGAAAAATAATAATTAGATTTTACTGCCATAACTTTATTGTGATACATAAATTAGTCCATTTGGATTTGTTATCTAAACCAATGTTTATTTCTGGTCTAATACTTTTACTTCTTGCTTCACAAACTTTAACATTTTGCACATTTTTGGAAGAAAGATGTAAAAAAGGTTTATTTGACATAATGATTAAAGAGATATCAATATACCCACACATTGTGCTTTTCATAATTTAATTGTGGTTTATATTATTTCATTATTTCTCTCAAGAGGAATTGTTTGTGCATCTTCAAAGTGTTGTCGGTCTCGAGTTACTCCAAGAAGATGAGTAACATTTGTGACTATATTTTGTAGTTAATTTCATCAAGGGGTTTAAATTTTAAAACATCATACAAAACATTTTTATTGGACAATAAACCCGTTAAACAACACAATCAAAAAGAGAAATAAGTTACTTTCATATGTCATATAATTAAAAATTATTATTAGAAAAAAATGAAAAAGAATTGTGTCATTGACAATTACACAACATATATTCCTTTTTCCATCCCACCCAGTAAGCACACAAGTTCATAATTCCAAATCAAGTTCGTAGTGAACACATTAAGGAATTTTTGATAGATAGTTTCATCAACCAAGTAGAGTTGGCGAACGCAAAGTAGAATACATAGGCATAGTCAGTTTTTAAGATGTGGAAAGCAAGCATAGACATGAGCCTTGGGATGCTTGGCTTCAGCATGTTCCCGACACTTAACCTCAGATGTGGTACATATGAATGTCTGCATGCACACCTTGCACTGCACTCATTATCCACACAAGTCACAACTTATGTTCAAGGATTTAATAAATTCTCTATAAACCTTTTGGCCAAAATAACAAGTACCAAATCTTTGATTAATTTATGGAACTAAATTATAGGCAACATAAATTTCATGTAATAAACAGAAATGATTAAAGTCTTAATTATCTAGAAAAGAATGAATCTGATATATATACCTGGATGTTCATGGCCTTCTTGTTGGACTCTAACTGGCTTCCTAGAGAAGAGAAAAGGTAAAAAATAATTAGAAAAGAAAGAGAGATGTATATAAGAATAGAGAGAGAGAGAGATACCTTTAGGAGGTTTATTCTTGTCCATGTTTTTCTCACGAGCCATCTTGGCCTTCTGGCCATTGCCTCCACCCATGGCTGTATCGGAATCGGAGGAGGAAAGGGAAAGGTTAATGAAATGCAGCTACCTTTCTGTCCTCGTCAACCACCTCACCACTCATTCTAGAATCATCCTCTATCTCTATCATATAAACATCCTCATTAATTAGATACTACGTACTGCCTCTACATATTTTATTTATTTAAATAACAAAGTTAGTAAGTTATACATGTGACCTCATTTAATACTATCAATTAAAATATAGGAGATAAATGTGAAATATGTCATCCAAAAATCATTAGAAAAACTACTAATTTATACAAAATCTGATTAGTGTTGATTTAATAAACAATTAAAAGAACTTGTAATTAAATTGGTTAAACAGCATAATTCTGGTCGTCGAAGGGCATGTCCCAAAATCTACAGTGAAAAAAAAGGGTAAAAGAATAGGTTGGAATGAAAATAAGAAAGATGAATAAAAATATAAATGGAAGTGTTTATCGGTTCATATCAATTCAATGAATTTATGATATAAATGAAACCAATTAAATTGATTTATAATTTTTCAAGTATGGATTGGATCGGAATCAAATCAATTGAAATCTATTGTTAATTAGTTTAAATATTATATTCATACTTTTTGAAATTGGAACCAACTTAAACCAAACTAACTATTTATATGTTATTATTTTATTAGTTAACATAGTAACATATGTGACTTTGGGTAATTTAGAAAATTAGGTGTGTGAGTGGATCTGACTTATTATACAATTTGGTGTAAGCTAAACACATTGATTTGTGTTAGATATTCAATTGTTTTAAATTAAGTAGTATGATTTAATCAACTATTCATTTGTTATTTTTTTTTTATAAATGTTATTATTTATAATTAGTATTTTAGCATGTGTAATACAAAAGTTAAATTTTGTTATATATAATTAAAATTTCAAATAAATTATGTATGTAAATAAATATTATATTTGAATATATAAATTACATTTAAAATATGAATAAATAGATATTTTTAAATATATAAATTATATTTTAAATTTATGATAAATAATTTATATTTTATTAAAAGATTTTTTTATTTATTAATAATTTTTTTAAATATTAAAATTTAATTTATAAATAATTATAATAAATAAAATCAAATTAGATATAAAGTTAAAATAATTCCTAAAAACTATAAAAACTCTCCCATAAAAGAGGATCCTAAAAGCACTCCCACATAAAACAATTGCTCGTATTTTATACAGAGAAAAACTATTCATATTTAAGCATTACTCATCAATTTAGAAATAAAACCATATTTGTTTTAATTTTCTCACTTTTTATTTTATTTTTTCATTGGATTTCTGATGATCCAAAACAAACCAACTCAGAGTTGATTTAGTTTGTATCAAACAAAAAAAATTATAAAGTTTAAACTAAATCAACCTGAAAAAAGTATGAAAAATAAATAAATATAAGGGAAGTAACGAGTAATCTCACATCTTTTAACTTATTTATTTATTTTCCATCCATTATTTTCCTCTCCCCCATTTTTTTTACAAGTCTCCACCCTGAAAAAAGTATGAAAAAAATAAATAAATGAAAAATATAAAGGAAGAACGAGTAATCTCACATCTTTTAACTTTTTTTATTTTATTTTCCATCCATTATTTTCTTCTTCACCAAAGAAAGACTGAATGCTTAATGTTGAAATTATTTATTTCATTTTCCATCTCAGGAAAATAAGAAATAAGAAAAAAATAAATAAATAAGAAATTAATTCTTATATATTAAATAAGAATATCAATCTTGTATGAGAGTATTTTTAAGCATTTTTTTTTCTATGAAAGAGTTTTTGGATATTTTTTTTAACTTCTTATCTAATTTAATTTTTATTTATAATAATTATTTAT